ATTATCGCGCGATAATAATTAACAATTATTCCACGAGCGCGCGTTGGATATGAGATGATAGATAGCCAACGAGGCGCGTAGCGCCGAGTTGGCTATAATCATCTCATATCCAACAAGCGCGAGTGGAATAATTGTTTTATTAAAAACACCCCCAAGAAATTATTATTTTGTAAGAAGAAACTGGATTTTTTTAGCTCCCTTTTGATTTTAAGCTGATGCGTACGCTTACCATATTTGTAGATTATGGTATATTGGCTGATATACCATAATGGCTAAGCCAATAAAAAGTCTTGAATTGCATTATCCAATGATCCAGTTTTTAATAATAACTATTAGGCCACTGTGAAGCGAGGAAGAAATTCATTGGCGTCCTTCTCAGTATTGAAGGGATGTTGATTACAAGTTATGAATAACTGGTCTCTTATGGAACTATGACAATCAGTTGTTTATGAATTGTGATAAATTGTTTCATTTCTCTTGCTTTCCAAGGGAATTGATGAGGGAAATGAGGAGGCAATGGGTGAATTTATGGCTGATAGTACAGCTAAACTTACCTCTGCTGTTAGGTAAAGTCATTTCTCTCAAATTTCAATAAGAAGCAAGTTGTATACAATTTTTTTTTGTATTACCAGTGTAAATCTTCCTTCTTCAGTGTTGAAAGGAACTCATACGAGAACGTTTATCCACTGTCTCATCTCTTTAGTGAGCTACGATGACACTGCAAATGTTCTTGTCACATTTTACAGTTCACTTCCGGAATTGCTTGAGAAGAAGAGAATTATAGACATGCACACAACTATTGCCACAGCACTTTTGGAACACATCAAGGTGAGGGCTGATTCCGAAGGGGCAAATAACAACGTGATCATATGCACCAATTGATTTCACTCTCTCACTTTTTAAATTGTTTGAAAATGTAGATCGTTTCCTCAACAAGTTTTAAATATCGTTATTTTTTTCAGTCCGGAAAGCTTGATATTTACTTCGAGACTGAAGAGAAAATAATGAGTAAAGCTACTTTGGTAAGTCAGAAACATAACCTTTGCATGAAAAATATACGGAAGATAAGTGAAACAGGCTGGAAAATCCTAGTATAGTAGAAAGGGTTCCGATATGCTTGTAGCCAGCTCAGGTGTCCAAGACGAGCTCATTGCCAAAGCGAGATTGTCTTTCAGATTGCATCTACTGCGCTTTTAAAACTTGGCATCTATTTTATTTCAGGACAAATCAATCCTGGAAATCATTCAGGATCCTGAAGGTCAGTTTTTAGAATTTTACATGTGGCATTGTATAGGATGGAGATGATAATGAAAGTTTGTAGAATACAGTCGAATTTCAATTTTTCCATGACTCGAGTTTTTGTATCATTTATTTTTTACATTCCAATTTTCAGCCGGAACTCCCCAGGATAAACTTCGGTTATTTATAATCTACTATGTTTCTGGACCAACCATGTCACCGGTGAGTAACCATTGAGTGTTCTTCGATGGATAATCGAGGATAAGATCGATGTTACTTCATTGTCACAGCCCGCTAGTCGTTGACTAAGAAAATTCATAAAAACCTTTCAACCAATCGGATACCTAGCTGAAAGCATCACGATTTGTTACACACGTTTTTTCGCGCTCTGTGCAGTTGCCACAGCAACTGCATAGATCTCTTATCGACATTTTTTCCACTTTCTGTTTACTTAAAGCTCTATTCTGCTCTAAAATCACTCTGAACGTTATTTTGTCGTTTGTCGTTCTCAGGCGGAGCTGGATCAGTTTTCGTCTGCTTTACTGGAGGCTGGAGCCGACCTTGCTCCACTAGAGTTTATCAAGAAGTGGAAGTAAGTGTTGGTAGGGGGAGGATTTTGGGGATTACACAGTTTTCAGGGGGAGCGGGGTAGGGGATCAGCCGTCGTCAACAGGGTATAAGGAGCGACTTTAGAAAATTGACTGCCAATTAATTACCATTGAGTGAGATCATAAGCTGATAGCCGAGCCTTAGGGGGGGGGGGGAAATCGGGTAAATTGTAGCAAGATGCAACCAAAATCACCCGACTCCACCCCCTAGGCGATAAAAAATGATCAAGGAACCCCAATACTAAGGAATCTTGATACTCCATTAGACAGAACAGGTGTCTGTTCATTGTACCGTTATAAGACTCGGGAAATCGTACATTCTACTGCGTTGAGTCTCGCTTCCTCACTGAAATGATTCTTCTTTTGAGAAAAATCTTTCATTGAGCCAGGCAAGATGAACTAAACTGAAGAGGAACTCCAAACTGACGATATTTCCCCTTGCTGTGTTGTTCTCAGAGCATTTACCAAGATGACGTTTGGACCTCTCCAGTCAGGGGGGGGAGGACAAAACACATACAGGTAAGAAATGAACCCTTTGATCGCTAACAGAGACTAGCATCTAGTTTCTCCTTACAATATCACTTTGGAGTCACACATTAAGGTCACGAGAGTAAATATGATATGATCACCAACTAAAGAAGCTCTTGATTGTTGAACAAATTCTCCATGTCAGCGTCTTAGGAAATGTATAGAAAACAGTATGGAGAAAATGCATACTGATGTTGGGGTGTAGAAGGTTAACGCTGAACTGAGAGGTTTTCCTCTCATTACCCGCTTATTCACAGTCCGCTTTTGACATGGCTCTGTCACTGAAATCTCCCTTTTGCGTTGTGAGGTGCAGTAGGGACAGTTAAGGGCGAGAATTACTTTTCACCTTGGTTATCATAACAATAGAGAGATATAACACGGCGTTTACGTCAAACTTAACGGCAAGAGTGACCTCGTGACCACATTTTTCCCGCCTTTTTTCACGTTTGCCGGTTGCGCTTCGCCATTTCTACGCGAAAGTAACCTGTTTCGCGTTTCCCATGTACGAAAGATTTTCTTCACTTTTCTTTCAAAGAGAAGAAGTAAATTGCCGAAAAAAGGGCACTAAAACTATTTCTTGCGAGTCATACAAGGTCGCCTTCAAATCCACTATGATGTGAGCTTACGCGAATTGATTCCACCTGATTTCGTTGGCTTTTGTTTTACTTCACTGACTTGAAACCACTCCAATGGCTGTGTCCTTACTATTGTGGAGTTTAAGAAACGACGACGGCGACGCCATGGACAACGTCGGTTAAAAAAATGAACTTACATTTTACCTACGAATCTCGCGACACTCGAAAGTCACTCAGTTTGTTTCTCACTGTCAAAACTTTCTCGAAACTGAATATGGAACATAACGTTAAATTAGAAATAGAATTTAATATATAGATATAGCCAAGCCCATGGGTATGGGGCTCTGCCCCACGCGTGCGAAGCGCGCGTGGGAGCCCCGCTAAAAAAAAGCCGTCGTCTTTCACGTTCTCCAGACCAGGGCGGAGAGAGGTTGGTAACCTGCTCCAGACAGCGCACAGTTTTTGTTTTGCAATGGACGCTAAGAAATTTACAAAGATTTATAAAGTACGCGACGTTCAGTGACGTTCCCGTTGCCGTGGCCTTCGTAGTTTTCTTAAACTTCTTATTATATCTTTAGTATAAAACGGTTTTGTTGTCTTTTTTTTTTCCAGCGCAATGTTTTCACGGTTCATGAATACCGGATCACAATTCGTTATGGAAGGTGTAAAGAACCTTGTGGTCGGAAATAAGGTAAGTAGGGGATCGATGCTAGGAACATTTTTGAAAAGTATAGAAATGACATGAACGATCTCCTGGAAACGGAGATATTTCGGACATAATTTTTTTTTTGGATGGGGTATCGAGACTCTTCAGATGGAATGATAACCTGTGACTTAAAAAAAAAAAGAGAAGATATGCCATTCGTTCAATTTTCCTCTACAGAATTTACCAGTGACACGGATTGTCGACGCGTTAATGGACAACAAGTCGAATCCGGTAAGAAAAGGGGCTCGTCAGACTAATAATTTACCGTACTGTTTTCAGCTATTTTCAAAGCACTTCGTTAAACAGACCTGGTGCTGTGTAACTCTTTCCTCTACCGGTATCGTGTGTTTTGTTCGCTTATCTTACTCTTACCTTTGCCTCGTGAAGAAGAGGAATTTTGATTAGAAATTAAATGAACTTAACGTTTATCTAACAGATTATTGCAAACAATGTTGTTGTCATTGCTTCCTAATATCTTTCATCTGATTGGCCACAAAATTACATCTAAAAGTTAGAACAACTTTTACTATANNGACTCGCCCTACGGGCTCGTCAAAATACGACACAACTCGTAAAAATACTCAGCGATACTACACAACAAAACGTCTAATAAGATATATGTATCCAACATTAAGAGGAGGAGAATAAAGGAAATGGTCAACAACTGAAAAAGCTGTTGATTGTTAAACAAATTCTCCTTGTCAGCACCTAATGGAATGTATGAAGAACAGTATGGAGAATATGCATACTGATGTTAGGGTAGACAGGGCTAATTTTTCTTTTCTTTCCGCAGTTTGTCCATTCCTCGAAATAAAACACCTTTTAGTGAGGTAAGAAATACATTGAAGAACATTTTTGCAGTAATTATGGGGTCATTCGTGAATAATTTAAGTTACTGGTTCTAATTTATGCTTTTAGCAATTATTATCTTGCGGTCGTTATTTACATTTGGAAGTAATAATGTTGCGCCTAATGCGCGGGAAAACGCGTGTTACCAAGTCGTGAATGGTTTTAGTTTTGCATTTGATTCGTTAAAAATGTGGCGCGAATTTTCGGGACCAATCACAGAACGAAGTAGAGCAAACCAAGGCGATACCGGATTACTTTCGACACTGGATTGATAAGTGCTCTATTGTAATATTAATCATCCTGTTGCTCCATGTTAAAATTTCTGTGCATGTTCAACAGGCAATAGTGTTTATCGTTGGTGGTGGAAATTACATCGAGTATCAGAACCTGATGGATTACAGTAAGGTAAGTGGCCTGATGTTCTTGCAGAATTTAATGCAAATGGTTTTACCGTTGTAACATTATTTATTTAGGATTGTTGGCATTTGTGTGTACAGTCGGACCTGCATTAAGCGTACGGTATGAAGCGGACAGTTCTTAAAGTCCCGAATTTGTTTTCTCTTAATTTCCCTTCTCACTCCAATTTTCATACTGAGTCCCAGCGGGCTGTTTTTATTGTCCTCCACCTGTATTAAAACTGAGATAATGTTTTAAAAATACCAATCCATGTTTCTCTACCAGGTAGTATTTTCGAGCGAGATTATATAAGAGGCGTTTATCTTTTTTCCTACTTATTTAATCTGTGGAACCTGTATTTAGCGGTCAACCTGTCTTTAGTGCTTAGTACAGGTCCTACTGTATTGAAAGGGCTCTATTGCTTTCGTTTGAATTGATGAAGGTTTTTCAAATGCTTGTTGCATGAAGTGTTCATAAAAGCGAAGCAACAGCTCAGTAGATAGTCTTTCATGCTAGTTCTCAATGTGTTTTAAACGAGGTTTCCCCCCCCCCTCTCATGAGCTTCTCTTTCGAAAACTGGGTGAGTTAATAAGACCCCTCTCCCGCTAGGGAGGGGGGGGGGGTAGGCCGGTTATAGCAAAGACTCTATCAAATGCGCTTCTCCTACATTTCAGAGGCATTCTGGCGCCAAAAAGTTGTTGTATGGTGCTAGCGAAGTCATGAACGCTTCTCAGTTTCTTAAACAGGTTGGTCCTCATTTATGATAATTTCTTCTTTGCCAATTAGTGGTTTTCTTTTCAAACTTGTACTGTGCGATGAAACTTGACAGACTGACAAGTATGTCTCCCTTCGACTTTGCTGAGGACGCTCGGGTTGTCTTAATATCAGTCGTTGCAACTGACAACAATTCTTCCCAGGACCACCATCGGCCCCCCGACGATCAGACGTTACGATCAATTGATAAAACAGACAGATGAGTTGTTTACTGAGTTTTTGCGATACTTTTATTTCTGCAGTTGTCACATCTCGGTCAAGAAGCTGTTTAACGAGGAGAGAAGTGATGCAGTTAAAAATAAAACATAAATAACCAAATTGTAGATATTCTCGCGCGGTCAATCATCTTAGAAAAGGCGAAGGAATGTTAATTCCTACCTTTGGGCGCCAACCAAAAAAGGAATTTTTCCTCCTCTATGGTAACTGTATTTGTTTTAGACTTTTGGTTATCATGGAAACAAAAAGAATTTAGTCAATTCTTGAAAGGTGCCTTTTTAGATTTCCCAAGAAAGTTCATTTCTTTGGTGTACCACGCCTCTGTTTCAAAACGAGGCTAGGTGCTAAGTCTCTGATTTCCAAAATGTTTGTTGCTCTTGCATATATTTAACTCCTTTTCACAACAAAGGTTTTGCATCAAGTCTCTTGAAAGTGAGGCTACTTCAAACTCGGAAGTGGTTAATTTTGTCTCGAATTTTTCCACGACAAGGCGCGTGACATCGTAAAAGAAAAAAAAAAAACCTTCGGTTGGAAACTGATGAAAAGATGGATATTTTAGGCATGTTCGTTTCTTTATGCACATCATGTTTAACTATAGAGTAAAGTAGCTTTAATTTAGAAATTTTAAACAGAGATCGTTTCGTCAAAGAACAAAGTATTTATAACTATCATTTCCTGGGTTATTTTTCAAATTTTTTTTTGGATTTCTTCTAAAATCCTCTTAACGATTTCACAAAGACAGGTTATGAGAAAGTAAGAGCTCATCATAATTAAGAATAATGAATTTAACCCCAGATGACTGAAAAAAAGGATATGAAAAACAATGTTTTCTTTCTGGAGAGTTTCAGAAGAACGATAAAGTTTACGGATAGTGATATGACTAGTTGCCGAAAAGGTGGATTGTATTTTTTCAAACCTTGTAAATTTGAAAGGACTTGTTGAATCTGAATCGCATCATCTTTGCAGGTAATAAATCTGATGCAGAGATAATGATGATGATGCAAAGTTCTTTTGCTTCCTCGTTCTCTGTTTCGTGACGGTGTTGTCCTGTAACGATATTCAAATGGTCGCAATATCGCCGCGAAATAACTCGTGTAAGGACCACGTCAGAGGGTGTCCTTTATCAAAGTTCCTTTAGAAATATATTAAAAAATTAGTTTCGGAATTATACTACTTGACTGTAATCTTGCTGTCTTGCTAATTTGGACAGAGAAAAGAGGGATTTGGCCAATTAGTCGCGCATGCGACTTTTTAAGGCGTTGACCAGTGCTGGTGTCAAGAGACCTCTTTTACAGCTTGTATGTTTTGTTTACCCACTTCAGGTCTGCATACATATTCCCGTGAATAAGGAACAATTTGAAAGGAACAACTCTTTAACCTAGAACCTGAAATGGGCAAATACAAGATACAAAACAAAGAGGTCTACTGTAAGTAACCTCACTTCCTACTAAAACCTGGGAAGACCTTAAATATTAATTTTCCGAGACGCTGCAAACACCACGATCGAAAAACATAGTTTCTTTAAAATCCAATGGAAACATTGGTTGCGAACCATAAATATCTTACTAGAACCTAACTTGGCACATTCTTCTACTTACATGTAAAAAAACAAATAGTTAACCTATGGATATTGAAAGGCTCCACGAAAATGCCCCACTTTGACAGATATTGAAGAGTCTTTCGACAAGGCCGAAGCCTTACTTCATTCTATTTATTACTACGTATTAATATAAAGAAATAAATTTTAATCACGTTTATACACTTCCTTAATTCCATTTCGTTTTTGTTTTTCATCTTCAGTCGTCACGATTTAACATAATCTCTCATACTTCGCTGAAATAATTCTTTTCTAATTAAGTACGCTTTTTAAAATTGGCTGTCTACCTAAATTCGTATGCCGCTACAAAGAGAACATGATATAATTTTCTAAATAATTTTTTTCAAAAAAAAAAAACTACGTTCACAATAGAAAGAAATTTCAGAACAGGTCGGTAAATTAGCGTCTGCGCACCCACCCCTCTCCTAACCTGACCGCAATCAACTGATAACAGTTAAGGTTAACGTTAGGTTTGGGGAGGGGTGGGTTCCCATTGCCCTGACACTCACATTGATCTGGGATACAAAGCATTCGTTCCTCCCGCGGAGTATCATTTTGCTAATGAATAAAATGATATTTGATGCATAGGAGGCTGATGATCTTTCGCGTTCACAAATGAGCTTTCCTAACCTTAGCCAGTGATAAAATAATTCAACGAACCCTATGAACGTGTTGTTTTTTTTTTTTCTCGGTTGACTTTGAATGGCAGTTCACGGTTTGATTGCTCTATTTCACAAACTCAACAGCGAGGTAACCACAGCGACTGCCTTCCCATTAGAACCTTTTATCCCATTAGAATGACTAGAAATGTAATTCTCATTACAGCATCACTCCAGAATCACACATCAAGATCATGAGAATAAAGGAAATGATCACCAGTCAAAGAAGCTCTTGATTGATTATCAAATTCTCCTCATCAGCACGTTAGGAAATGAATGGAGAGCACTGTGGAGAATATGAATACTGCTGTTCGGGAGTAAAGAGTTAAAGGAGGAATTTGATCGTTTCGGTTAGACCGGAAGTGAGTGAGTAATCGGGGGATTCCTCTGGTGTTAGACTGAGCACCATACGCAGAAGGTCCACAGTGTGTGACAGGGGAACCATACGACGGGACAACCTTGAAGGATCCTGCAGAGTAAAGAAAAATGAACAGCAGTGAATCACCTTTGATATATATGAGGGCGCGCGCCAGAAGAACTAAGGGCTCAATGGTAAGCTTCCCCATTGCTAACTACAAATTGGGCTAAAAAAGTTTTCTTCGGTGATTCGGTTCACCTTCCCCATGAAATGGACAAAAATTAGCAAAAATGTTTCTATACCGCCAAGCTCCTACCAAAAAAGTTATTAAGTTGTGCAATAGGACTTCGATTCTGTGGTTTAACTACATTTCTTCAGGGAAGTCTCAGTGTCGGCCTCGTATACGTGCACTCCACAAATTCCTCCTGGCTCGCACTCAAAACCAATGAACGAGAACCAAGGAAAGAATCAGAACTTGGAATCATACACGAGGGAAAAGGGAAAACGTTAGAGGCCAGAGGGCTAAGGTCAGCGTCAAGCTACAAAGCAAAACTCAAACTAAGAAAGGTCGAAGTGATACAGGTCATCGGAAAAATGGTCGGGCCGGGTAAAGAGCAAAGGTCAGAATAGGAAGTACAAGATATATTCGACTGCAAAAATTGAAGGTCTAGGTGGAAAATATCACGAGAAAGTAACAACGTTTAAGTTAAAACACGAGAGACAAAACATGTTTTAACAGTACCTGTGATCTGATCCAGCTGCTTATCTGAGTTGGTAGGCGAGACAATCGATTCGCGCGTTCAGTTGACTCCGAGGCATCTAAGATGATGTATGCAAGTCGCTGTCCGACAATTCTTAAGAGGTGAGAAGCCAATGCCCGCTGGTCATGAACTGAGAACATGGTCTGTCGAAAAAAATAAAAAGTTTTCAGAATTGTGGCATGTTTAGCCTCAGTAAGAACAGAGATGCACGTTTTTTCAGAGGTAGAACATTTTAGCTTCTTGAATCTGCCACGGGTGAGCGCTCCACAGTTTTTCCAGAGTGAACAAAGCGTGCACGTCTTTTTTTCACGCAAATGACTCCATGTGCATAGAATTTCTTCAGTACCAATCAGACGCGAATATCAGCATTCTTCTTTAAAACAAGAAGACAAGCTTGCCAGGGAAAAACCTGTCCAGGAGACCCTGAAGAGTTTACGGAAAAACTGCCTTGACATTTTTTCCTGGAGCATCCTTGACAAGTTCTCTTTGCAGGAGGTCCTTACCTGTTTGGCGATCTCATCAAAACCAGCAGAGTACAATTCCCGCACATAATGACGCTTAAATGGATCACTTTCCATCCCAAACTGCTCTGCGAGCTTGTAAATCACGGCCGGCCAATCACAGCTAGTTGTGTCAAGTATTGCTCCCTTGTTGTCAGTATCACTGTCCTCTCGCCTGAGTATCGGGTTGGGAGACTGGGCCGACATAGCGCTGACCGTGAAGGACAGGGCTCGAGTGAAGAACTACGGCCAAAAAGCACACAATGTTGATTTTTTTTTTCTACAGACTACAAAAAAAAAAAACTGATGTGAAAGGCCTGGCTAATTAGTACGATTTTAAATTCAACTGTCACAAGCATGGATAGAGAAAAACCGACTCCCGATCAGGATTCCAACTAAAAGAAATCCGATTGCCAATCATATGGTTCGAAAACGAAGAGGCCAAAGTACATGACATCAATACTGAAAACAAATAAAATCGCACGATAACCATTTACCTTTTCTCTTGTTTCAACGATGGCTTTGTCGACTTCATTTGACGATAGTGGACGACTGGAGCTGAGATCCCTCATGAAAGAATCCTTACTCTGAACACAGATACAAAAAAGGAAATTAAATAAAAACATTTTCGTGTATCTTTTTCCTGAATGTGCTCCATCGGCAAATCCAAGCACAGTTTTAGTGTGGTTTTCTTGGCAGGTTGAGTGAAATCTTGCACACAAATCAAGGCCCCCAGCCCCACCCCTCCCACCGACCAACAAGTATTATTGCTACCTCCCCTGGATAAGACGCCAGTCTATCGTAAGGTTACCCAACCCTTCCCCCCTTCCTCTTAGCTTTTTGCCAGGTAAGGTTACCCAGATAGTTGCCCAATACCCATTTTAGACTCTTAAAGGAAGAGAAGCACTTTGAGAATAAACTGCCTTGCCAAAACAAACCCAATCAATGTAAAACTTGAACTGTGGGTTGGACCTATGCTCTCAAATCTAAAATTTATTATAAAGAGGAAACTGCCTCGTAAATTCAAAGCATATTCAAACACAGAAAAAAACATTTTACAGGCTATCAGACAATATATCTGACGACAGTATCGCAAAATGACAACTGTAACAGGATCGTTACATAAAATAATTAAAAAGTACATTAGCACCTTTGTATCGAAGAGAGTCATCGGTTTGACACTCTTCATGTCCAATCCCATCACAATCCACAAAACAGTGACCAGCTTGGCATGAAGCTTGACCAGAGGTCCATTACTCTCTGGCTTCTCCTGTGCCCCTTCAATGAGGGACTCTGTACCCCTGTAAACAAAACAAGGCCCAAATTGACAATGGACAAAGTTTTCTAACTGGAATATCAAATCATAAGATCTTCGCTTACGTTTCACCAGTGTGCCAGAAATCCTCCGTTTCCAAAGCTAGTCGTCGAGATTCAGTCCATTCCACCTGGAAGCAAAAAACCCAAGTGTTTCCCTAGTCGCCTTTTATTTTCGATACGCGGCATCTATGCTGCATGGGCTAAAGAGACACCTAGGGACGAGTCAGAACACTCCCCTTTCCATTGGTTTTAAGTTGTCTCTTGGCGTGTCACGCAATGCACCCTTAGCATTACATGACTTCCCCGAAAGACGGCGGCGAACAGGAGTATGATATCAGGAGCAGCTATATTAACAAAAACACAAGGACAGTTTTCAAGAAGCAGTTAAGGGGTACCAGCCCACAAAATACGAGACGGATCAGGACTTTGTATCATGACTAAGATCCATTGTATACCGGTATACGCTAGGCGCTAGACTCCCCAACCAATAAAATCTATGGATACTAACAACCTCGTTCCCGAGCTCTCTCATCTTCCCGCCCACCTGGAGCGAGAGAAGAGAAGGCAAGAAGATGAGAGACCCTGGGAACGAGGTTGGGATACCAACTACTTTCTAGTGCTATTTGGGAAACTGGACCAATGTCAGTATCTGAGTAACTACGCACCTACCCCTCCCCTATCAACAGCAGTCAGCTGATGACTAGCTAGGGTTAATGATGTGTTAGGGAAGGGGTAGGTGGGCAGTTCCTCAGAAGCTGACCTTGACCTTGGAGAGAAATGGATTGTCCAGCGATGGTTTGCCTGCGATAAATTTTGCTTTTATATTTAACTATTATCTCCTACCTCAGCTATAACATCCAAGAGAAGTACAGTGGCTTTAAGGAACTGCTTCAACGCACCAAAACTTAACTCCACAGTCTGAAAAAAAAAAAAAAAATGTTAACATATTTAACATCTGAAAGATGATGTTATTCAGTAAATGAAACAGGCATACTCGGAGAAAAAGAACCCCGAGTGCTCCCAATAGGGGTCAAACCTACGACCTTGGACGTTGTACCACTGAGCTATAATAGGAGACTCAGCAATCTCCGTCGTTCAACCAGGTCCATGGTGACAAACTTCCTGCATAATGTTAGGATAGGAGTGTCCATAGGATGTGCCTCTGTGCCATGATTATGATGTACATGAAGATGGCAAAGTTTAAGCCAAGAGATTTTCAAGTGAAAGATGATGTTATTCAGCAAATGATACAGGTATAGCGTTAAGCATAAGAACTCCGAGAGCTCTCTGTTTTCTCGGCTGCCCAGCCACATAATGGACAGAGAAAAAAATGCAATTACAACTTAGATTTCCCGTAAGCTCAATATAAAAACACTACAATGTCAGGAAAATAACGGGTCGAAAAGTGCAAAAAAAAAAAAATACCTTCCGACAGAGTCGATCTTTGGGTGCTTTTCCAACCTGAAAGTAAAGCGCAGTGCGGTCAAATACCTGTTAAGTTAAGAAACTCCAAAAGTAAAAATAAAAAAAAAAAAAGTCATGAAATAACGCCAGTCAAAGATGAAAGTAATTCACAAACCTTCTCCATCAGCATAACGGTGGCGGATATCGTTTCTTTGAAGAATCTTTTCCAAACCGTGACTGCTAAGCCTGATAATAAGAAAAAATAAATTTAACAGATAAAAGGATAATCCTGGAATAAATATATTTTCTATATTGTGACCGCCAAGCCCGACTCCCAAAAATATAAATTGAAACAGAATAAAAAAGTCTGACTATGGCAAAAATAAACGAACATATGCAGAAAAAATTTGTTAATAACAATTGTGATAACCCATCCGATTTCAGTGACGTAATCGATTCCACTCAATGACGTCATCCTAAAGCCAAACACCAACTATCGCTTCTCTGTCACCACGAAATCCCCCCACCCTTTCCCTTTAGGTCTCTCTTTCTCTCTTTTGACAAACAACTACCGTGACCTAACCTTTCGTGACCTAACGGAACTAGCGTGACCTGGCGTGACATACCATGTTGCAATGCAGGAACGTGTATACATCTCAAATGCTCCAAAGCTAAGAATAACTTGCTAGTTTCCTGAAAAATAGTAATCAGCACTGCTGTGTGAGCTGGGTATACTAAACGAACAAGTGCAACAAAGAAAAATGCGTCAAAATTCCAGCTAGGAGGTTGGAGGCCGATGGACATCTACGAAGGCTTTAGAGGCTGAATCTGGTCCTCCATAAAATCTCGAACCTCTACTCCTCTACCCATCAACCTCTCACCCCCTTCCCAACGTTAGATGGGTGCGGGAACCTAGAACCAACCACTAGGGCACTAAAAGCAATACATAGTTATGCGAACAGTAACAAGCGGTCTAAATGTCATATATTTGAGATGAGCCGATCATTGGTAATGACCCCGTTCTCTGAAGCGCTGACCTACTAAGAATACCCGTTAAAGAAGATCTTTCTTTTAGCTCACATACCTCTTTGTTGCTTTGCCAGTAAGTTACACACTCCATAACACAGTGAGCCCATAGTATATCTTGCTCTAGACTATGCGGAAACCTCAGACGCAACTCGCTAAGACCTGAAAAAGATGTTCAGACTCTGGTATACTAAGACAAAAACAATGAGTGATACCACAAACGTATAACGCGCATCGCTAAGTTCATACTCTGTACAAGGCACTTCAAAACGGCACTGTTAAAGGTGATTCCTCAGAAAAAAGAAAGTCATCGAACATTTTTTCTAAACTTTCCTTCAATGTTCCCAACCAATGTCTGTTTCGAAAAATACAATTAAAAAGATAGGTCACCGAGCTTGCTTATGAAATATGATGGGCCAATATTACCCCATTCATGTCTTTACTGGCACCAATCACGCACGTCAACTCATCAATTCTCAGTACCTTTTGAAGTAGCTGGAAGCAAGGGTTCGTAAAGCTTAGTAGGTAGAAATTCTCGAGCGTATGGAACAATTTGATATATAACTTGTGGAAAAATCACGCTTTTTGAAACGACATTAACTCAAAACGTTCCTCGAGTCGATGCTTTCAAGGTCATGATTTGCATCATCGAGTGACGGGCTTCGTGCACGCTTTCAGCCATATCTTTTTTCCCATCGATGAACGTTTCTTTATTTCTCCAATTTGAAGGGGACAGCATCCTCGAGTAACGGACTTTGTGCACGCTTTCAGCCATATCTTTTTTTCCCTTCGTTGAATTTTTTTTTTCAATTTCTCCAATTCTAAGGGGACAATTTGTACACCAAAACTACGAAATAAAAAATATGGGTCACGGTGCTCGTTCATGAGCTAAAGACCATCGTACCTCTTTACCTAATCCATTTATTGAAAAACAATACCATGTTCTCAGAATGCGCGCCCACTTGTTCGCCTGATTACGTGATTTTTATGTGCAGTACAGGATGCGTAGCGCAATACTGAGGAATCACCTTTACGGCACTACATAGTGAAAGACCTAAGAGCCCAAAACCATGTCATGATTGGCAGCGTTCACCCGTTCGAACCAAATTAAGACACGTCCCGCAGAAACAAACCTTCGAGTTCGACTTGGATTACAGGTTCAGAGTCTATTTCAGGCTTGTCCTCGTCCTCAGCCTCGCTCAGATTTTGAGTCTCTGTCTTCCTTGGTAGGTGGGGAGTTCCCAGATGACTTGCAGGGATGTGACATTGTACGATGTACTTCGATATTACTTTGGAAGCTGCGCCAGGGCCGCTACTCAAGAACCCTGAAGAGACAAGATACGCAAATAGGTTTTTTGTTTTTTTAAAGGGTAGGTACTCAAGGGTTCAGTTAACTGCCGAACAAGCCACTTTTCGTTTCATATCACGAATCGGCCAAAAAAATTGTCTTTGATGACATCTCTGTCCTCTAAAAGGAAACCTGGCAGGCGTCAAGTATAATCTAAATTGCGTTCGAGGTTTGTTCAACATAATTTCTAACACGGTGAAGATGGAGATGGTGACGGAGAAGCATCGGTACCCACACGTCGAATACAAAGAATGGACGTCATTGACACTTACCGACCACTGAAAGCTCAGCTGACCCACTGTTATCAACAGCTTGCTTGGTTCTCTGACTATTAGCTGCCAATCGGTTGATGAAGCCTGAAAGAGCTTGCAAATCGGTCAGCTGAAATACAAGTAAGTTCCAGCGCTCTATCTCAACTGACACTGAAATCCAGTCTCCAGCGGCCAGTTCCTCTCTTTCGGCTGCGTCCCCTTCGTCCTGCGGTAAGAATACAACATTTAGTGGCCAGTACCTCATTAAAAAAATTCTCCCCTTTTGCCGCGGCTTCAATGCATTTCCTTGAAACTAAGTTATGAGAATTTGATTTGAAATCAAGAAAACACCTTAAAGCAGATAATCGCATCCATTCTCATCACCTGTTCGCAGGATAAAGAATCGAAATTATTAAGAGAAATTATCTTTTCATACGTTCTAGGGGTTACAGGATTAAGAGCATGACCAACTTTAATTTGGTTTTTTCAGTTTAACTATGGCATTCATCCCTAAAATGAGCCTCGAATTATCAAAAAAAAAAAAAAATATTAATCTTTCTCGGTGCGCACCTCAACTTTCTTTGAGGCTGTACTGATTTCCAAGGCAACAGAACGGCAAACTGCAGCAAGAGACAGTGCTCTGTTGGTTGAGGTGGACTGAGCTAGAGTGTGTCGCACATTCTCCCACCAAGGTGAAATATCGTTGTCATGCGACTGTGATGAAGAATTCTCACTCGGTAAGCCTCCTGGGAAAGATAAATTAAAACGGCCACAGTTATGGCATGGAAAATTGTAATGTGACACGTGACTAAACTTAAAAAACCCTTAAACAAGCCTCTTCATGAGCAGCAAGTAAACAAAAACGATGAGACCCCAACCTCGTCCCCAGGCCCTTTTCCCTCACCTTGGCCACCAAAGTAAGGGAGAAGGCCCTGAGAACGAGTTTGGATGAAATCCTCTTCAGGTTGAAAGCTTAATGCTCAAGCATTATGGAACGTGGTTACCATCATATATCTTTTCACCCTTCCACTCTCAAGATCGTAACAATTATTTTCCTTACTGTCAGCCATACAATTCTTATGATGTTAGCTCTGAGAATTTGGTATTAGATCAACCATTTTTCTTTATTCTGATCACTTGTCTGCTTGACATTAGGATTGTAATGAGAAATTCTGGTTTGGTTGTTTGCCTCATAGTTAAATCAGGTAGTATCTTCGATTGAAATTCAGTCAAACATATTTGACATTTCGTAAATGGATACGAATTACATGGTAGTGCCCTGAAAATTGTTTTGCACCGTTAAAATGTATCAGTTCGGCGGAAATGCGATGTAAAGTTATCATAACATTTTCTACTGCTGTCGAGATTAGTTGTTTCACAATTTTTTCATGAAATAAAATTCATTTGGCCTGGGGATGAAAATCAAGAAAACAAATGATCCTTGCAGGAGGACTGCAATTTAAAATCAATTGCAGAAAAGAAGCTTGGAAAAAATTCTGGTTTCAACGGGGTCGAAACCCAGGCTTCCCAGATACTACGCGGGCACTACTACCAACTGAGCTACGAAGTCACACGCAGGGGGAGATGTCAAGCATATTTTAGAGGGCTACTCATTCGAGCATAAATTAAGTTTATGTATGTACGTACGTGTGTGTGTATGTAAGTGTGTGTGTAANGTCGGTGGGGGTAACAAGGTAATTTGTTTATATCAGCTATGTTGAAATTGTAAATTGGGCACCGTAACGAATGAAAAAGCTGACGTTTCGAGCGTTAGCCCTTCCCATTCGTTCTGACGAAAGGCTAACGCTCGAAACGTCAGCTTTTTTATTCGTTACGGTGGCCAATTTACAATTTCAACATAGCTGATATAAAAAAATTACCTTGCTACCCCCACCGACGCAGCACCACAGTTTCTTTAAAAACTTTCAGCCCTTAAAACTTTTTAATGTCCAGTTCAGGTTTTTTTTTGTTTTTATGACGACTCGCGTGCCACAAGGCACGACGGTTCACATGACTTGTTGATCACATGACTGCAGTCACGCGTGTCACGCCACAGCGACATTTCTTAGGTGCTAATCACTGTTAGAGGTCCAAGGGTTAAATTTACTGTACTGGAAGAAGATAAGCACCACTGTAAGCAACCGTTTTTAAAAGCTTACCATTAAATGCTGAGGTTTAATGCCGGATGACTCAAGAGGAATGGCTAATCTGCTTGACGAACAATCCCCTAAAAGGCAGTTCTAAAGAAGAATTGTCAACAAAGAAAAAAAGAGTAAGAACTGTTCAGATCTTAAAGTATTAGGACCAAAAAACAATGGACCTTTTCGGCTGCATAATATAAACAGATGGAAAAATAAATCCAAAAATCCAAAAATCAAAACATAGCCATACAACACACATCTCCTGGTGACTTTGATCATTTCAACCTACCTTGAAAAGAAAGCTTGCTATAGACAGAGAACGAAAAAAAAAAAAAAATTAAAGATAAAACTTGTTAGTGAACTAGAAGTTAAATAAAGAGACAATTTTAGCTGCTACACATTTCCTCCTAAATTGGTTACAAAAATTTGGTGTTAGATCAAGATAACTACCTCTAACCTCTACTTGATATTAGTCTGAGTATTCTCATAAACTGTCTGCTGTATATTTGTATGGATATTATAGGGAGAAGTTACATTTTGATCAATTCTGGGAGTTGAGGGGTAGAAAAAAAAAAAAGATACCGGTACAATGTAAATACAACTTACCTAGTTGAATTGTAATATCATTGGACAAGCCTTTCCTGACTCCAACTGTATTGGGTAATACAACTCTTGATGGCCCAGCTGTGTTCTCTGGGGTTTTAGCCTTTGTTTCAAGGCCTTGTTGGTGAGCTGAAGTGTACTCAAAACAACCAAGGAAAGATGATACAGCCAGCTGGGGAAATGAGTGGTTTGTACCCTTGTGCGCAGTTGTGTCAGTTGGATTGAGAGCAGACAGTAGCTCTGATGCTTCAGATTTTGTAACTCCAAGGAGATTTGCTATGGACTTAAATCACAAATAAAAATGTACTTAAAACAACCAAGGAAAAATGACAGAGCCAGTGGAGAACTGCTTGCTCTGATGCTTCGCATTTTGTGACACCAAAGAGATTGGCCTTAAGCTAAAGTTGTATTCTACCCTAATAACCAAAGAAGAGAAGAGAGGGTGTGCATATATAGTACATTGCCAAAGTTACAAGGAGGCCACTAGTGTGTTTTATCCTCCACTAGCAATGTGCTACCACGAAAATTAAAATTTTGTCCACAACAACATAACACTGAGCTGCTGAGTTTAATCTGTGGCATGAAGAATATTGCAAACTCCTCTTGAACAAAATGCCAATCCATCACAGGGTTACCCCTCCTACCCCACTCCGAAAAAAAAAAAGAAATGTTGTGGTTTCCCTAATGATTGATTTGAACTCATTTACACTCCTGAGAGGCCTTGTGAGAGTTAAGTGTCTCACTCAAAACCACAACAGAATGACCTGGCCAAGGGAACAAATCTAAACTCTAATCCTGTTACACTTTGAAAAACAAACATTATTAGACTACTTCCTCAAACCCATCACATACCATTTCTTTACTCTTTCCTTTCCATGGTTTCCCCTCAGAACCTGGTTTCTCTTTGTCAAGTTTCTGGATTGAATCATGTGTTTCTATCAATTGCCTCTGAACATCACAAAAGTCCACAAGTGATTTAGTGTCTTCTCTTTCATCTTCATGATCATATGAGGTGTGACCTTAAGTGGGAAATAAATAGAGAGAGACTTTGTAAGAGAGAAGTGTTTTATACCAGACCATCCAACCGTAGCCTGATCCCCCAAACAGGGCTTGTGTGTTAGCCTCTTTTAATGAAATCCAGCAGGCCAGTCATTAGGCTGCCACATCTCCCACTCCTGATGAGTCACCTGAGTGAAGTGGCCCATCCAGCCAGAGCTTTTATCAATATCCTAGTTTCTGTAGCATGAAGCAACTGGAAGTACCCGGTATCATCACTCTCCTTGAGGCTACCTGACAGCATACAGTCAATTCCATTCAATTTATTTCAATTCTTCAACATTACTAGGCTTCAATGGCCTATGGTCCGCATTAAATCGTTTAAGCATTAGGGAAAAAAAGAAATATATGCTAAAAACAGATAGACTATATACATTAATTTAACATAATTAAGAATTTATACTTAAGAATTACTACTTTCATGTATAGTTTTTATTACAATTTAGTCAGTCATTATAAATTAGTTTTAATATTAAATTTTAGTATCATAGGCCTTCACAGATGAAGAGCCACCCCTTTTTATGTGGATATACTGTGAATAAACCATTATTATTATTATTATTATTATTATTATTATTATTATTATTATTAAGACACACTAAGCAATCACTTAACCCTTTCACTCCCAGATGTGATTAACATGAACCTTCACCCTATCATGTCCATATGTTATCCAGTAAACAGGAAATGAGAGTACTCAAACTTATCAGGTAGAAGTTGTTATCTTGATCTAACACTTAATTTTCATCTACCTACTTTACCAACGAAATGTGTAGCAGCTAGAGGGGAGAGGTAACAATCAGATCTTGAGAGTTAAAGAGTTAACTGATTTACAGTATTAGGCAAAAACAAACGTATGTTAAAAACACACAAAGGCTATTTGAATGTATTAATCAAAAACATATCCTCAAGTTGGCCTTAAAGTTAGCTGATATCAATTTACTGTATACTGGGTGGAGGGTGGCACTGCCAGAGCTAACCCTTTCACTCCAGGATCTCACTGGTAATTCTCCTTACCATTCGCCAAACAATTCTTATGATTTTAGTTTAGAAAATTTGGTTTTGAATCGCCCTAAAATCTCTTAATTGATCTTTTTCTCTATACTCCTCAACTGACTGCTTAATATTGTATTGATGTTGTAAGGAGAAATCCTGTCTTGGTCACTCAAGGGAGTTAAACAGTTAAGAGTTGGGTGCAGGTTTTGCACCTGGACCTCCCCTCAGTGTCAAGCTGGCTAAATTTCACACCATCCTACCCCTCCCACCAGGGAGACTCATCAGTCATGATAGGAACAAGTTGCAATAACAAATACAACACTCACTTTGCTTTTGTGCTGTGTCCTTCACAGTTGTCACAGCTTTAAGGAGGACAGAGGATGGAATTCCCACAGTGGACAAAACACACTGAAGACCCTATCATGAAAGACACAAGAACAGCTCAAATGGTGACATCTCATACTTGAGCCATGTGGCCCATCCAGCTGGAGCTAATCCCACTCTCTAACGCATGAACTAAGAGTGATACTACTCCCCTGGCCCCGTGAATGGGAAGCCAGTCCATTGCAAGGTTACCTCCATGATTTCACTAGGCTTTCCTGACAATTTACTGCCACCCATTTTTACTCCTGGGTGGAAAAAGGCAGCCAGAGTAAAGTGTTTTGCCTAAGAACACAACCCAACCCAGTTAGGTCTCAAACCCTGACTTCTTTCCCTGGGCAGAGTTCTGCACAGTACTCATTAGGTCACCTCCTCTACCATTAATGACAGTTCATATGGAGCGAAAGGTAATCATAATTACATTTTGTTCTGTTTCAATGAAACTGAACAAAATGTAATGTGTGTCGGGGCTCTTGGCTGTAAAGACATTCACCTTGACTATGATATAGGAAGGGTGAAACATAAGATGAAACTATCCATGCTTGTTGGAAAAAGTTGTGGACATTCCACAAAATACTGTAAGTAAGTCCTAATAAAAGAATACTTCTCCTTTCCAAGTGAACTCATGATGGAGCCAAAAATGAGAGAAAATCAAAACCAATCCCAGGTTCTCTCTCAAAGCCCGGCAATGATGTCATCGTTTTGCCCTAGCTACAGGGTGGCCACATTAGTGTCACATGATGATTAGGTTTCCTGTTTTCACTTGTCCCCCTCCCCCTTAGTGAAAATTATCTCATTCAATCAATCTCATTCCTATGTCAAATACATTGATTACACTGCTAATGTCTTTAGAAAACATATATCACCTGCTGATGTAGTTGTGGAGTTTGTATATCACTGAGAATGTTTAACAAATCCTTTTCCAGTTTGTTCATGTTCTCTGCCTTGGACTCTGGATAAGTCAGAAATGAAATTAAGGAGAAATGTTTCTGAAAAATTCTTCCAACAATTAAATGGCAGGGGTAGTGCAGTGTTGCAACCCTCTACTTTCTATTAAAGACTCTAATTTGTCTTTGATGAATAATTTACCTTACAGCCACTTTATGCAGCCTACATTACCTTGGTCAGACTTGGTTGAATCCAGAAGAACTGACAGTTTTTTTAAAAGGTGTAAATCCCTGACTCTTTTACTATGCTTGTCACTGGGAGAAAAAAATTGGGAAAAGATATTTTTTTTTCTTTTTGTTACTGATTTTAAGAGTTTGGACATTCCCAAAGTATAAACTTCTAACTGCTATTTGTGGGAGACTAAAACAGTTTCCATTGTCTGAGTATCACCGTAAAATCAATTAAGAGGCCCAGGTCATGGCCCGGCAAACCAACGAGTTGTGGCATGCACAGTTGAAAGGTCATCTTAACACCAAGTCAGACCTGGTAGAGGTTTCGATTCCTACGAGAAATTCAATCTTACAGTGTCCTGGGCTAAGGAAAGAAATCAAACATCTGTCTTCAGTTGATAAATTTACCCTCACCACCAAAAATTGCCATGCAAAATTCAATAGGCTAATCCCATCTACAAAATGGAAGTTTAAGGAAACTGTTTTTATACTTCTAACAAGGGGGAGAAGAAATTGACTACATAGACCACTTTCATAAATGGCTGCCGTATAAATATTCTTTTGTTTAAATTTAAATTAGCCCTTCTGGCCTCGCTTGAGATAATGTATTCTTTTCAATTTTGTATTGGAGAACGAGGCCAGTAGGGCTAATTTAAATTTAAACAAAAGAATAATAATCCGCCAGCCATTTATGAAAGTGGTCTATTAAGAATATCTTACAGTACTTTAATATTTATATGTACACAGACTGCACATGCAATCTTAAACTGTCAGTGTACAGTAACAAAGAAAATATTCAGTTAGGAAATCTCCTCAAGACATGTAAGAACACTCACCTCAGGGCACAGTGAAATGGTACAGAGAAAGTTTTCAATGTACCATCCCCTTGGATAAGAGTACAATTCAGTGTGTGCTGTGGGGGAGCCTGCCCCTGCCTGATCACATGACCTAATCCCATGATTCCATGTCCAGCATACAAGAGCCTGATAAAAAGCAGAATTCAAAAATACAGTTTGAATGAAATTGAATGACTGTCAAAGAAGGGAGCCTCAATCAAAATTCACTTGACACAAGCAAAATAAACTTTGAAATAATAGTTAGAGGGTTAGAGGTTAAAACTATATTTAGTAAATTGTGACAAGAAAAAAAAAACACAGATGAAAACCAACTTTAGTTTAAACAATCAGACATTGATTTTAAGTGTAAAACAAAAAGTAGATTAATGTTTAATTAGGAATCAAAGCAATTGCTCCAGACAACAATGAGTGCCACCAAGTGCTTTGTCAACAGTAAATCAATGCACCATGTGACAACATGTTCAAAAATATGATGCATGCTTATGTGTAAGTGAACCACTATGATGTGTATAAAGCTTACCTACAATCCTTTCCAATATTGAAGGCAGCCACACGTGGCCCTTGCTCTGTTCTCCAGATCTAAATAAAAATACAGTTAACTGACTAACGAAATTCAGGTTCAAGACATCAAGTCACTGATAAAATTTTGTTCAGTATAGTGAGTAGCGATGGATATCACACAGAAAAGGGTTTTATCTCAAAAGTCTTGTGTATGTAGCTAATTATCCTTAACCATGCTTAAAGGAATGACTAATTACAAAAATCTTCCATAAAAAATAACCTTATCCTATTTTACTTTAGAAATTGACTGAGGCAAACCACAGTAGGAATTTCTGTTGAGTTTTTCATCAATAATTTTGTAGTATTTAATGTATGGATCAATGTTAGAATCTGAGCAATTAAGCACCCACCCCCCCTCATCCAACAAAAGTCAACTGATAACAAGTTAGTGTTAGTGTTGGGTCAGGGGAGGGGTGGGTGGGCAGTTCCTCAGATACTGGCATTGATTTAAATGTTAACTATCACTACAGACTGGCTTCTGAAAATATCATGCCCAATTTTTTTCTTTAATATTTTTAATANATACTTCAAGGATTCCTCTCTTTGTGGCATAGATGACAAGAAACAGAGCTGTTCTCAGTGAGCTCTTGGGTGGTTCTTCTTCTTGATGATCCTCCTCGCTAACCATTACCCAGCCACATTCAGCATCACGGTAGCCTGCCATGCAGAGATGGAAAGATTACCTCTACACTAGGATCAACTCTTACAACAGCACAAATAATTATGATTTCTGCAGTGTTAAGCACAAACAGCTTCTAAAGGATATATGGTGTGAGTTCCTCAAGAAACTGTCATGCTGCCCCAGTGGGGGATATTTAACAACTATTCACCAAAGTGGAGGTGGTTAGTGGTGGATATTTACTGAGCCGCGAAGCGGCGAGGTAAATATCCATGGCTAACCACCGACACCCAGGTGAATAGTTGTTTTAGTATATACTAAAACAGTGAGACAATATACACTGCTTCGTCGTTAATTTGAGTGATTTCTTTGCTTGTCACTGATGCAAACCAGGATGCCATTTTTTCCTGAGTTGCTTGGAGGTAAATAGCAAAGGATATTCGGAGTTTGACTAGCCAATCAGAGGGCGCCTTCAACGCTATCCACTGTTTTAATATATACTAATTAAAAACAAGTTAATTTTGTTTTTAAATTATCAACTGATTTGAGAATGTACATTGGCCACCAAGAGTTTCTAGAGAGTTTCTGATTAAGACTCTTAACAGTGACCAATCTACATTATCAACTCAGTTGATAAAAATAAGTTTTTAAGGGAGTTCTGCTATGAGCTCTGTAAGCAGGTTACTTGTCTCGCAAAATTCTTAAGTCAGAAATTCCCTTAAAAAAATATTACATATAGTTCTGAAACAGGGACCCTCAAGACACAAGAATTCTAAAAGAAACACCCCCAAATAATAAAGTTTAAACATTTTGTATTTCAATCAAGACTCAAGAAAGCAGTCACTTTGAGCTTTTCTGAAAAAAGGAAAAATCTTCCAAGCTTTGTAGATGGTTAACAATTAATTGTTACAAGTTGAGCTTGGCTCTTGAAGTCTTCAGAGGTGTACTGTGAAAGAAATACCTAAGGGCTTGCACTGAATTGAGAACACAGCTTCTTATGGAATATTGCCTGCATTAGCCCTGGTTGAATACATGCTTATTACTACCTTAATTTTTAGCAGAGAAGCTGTATTAATAATCATCTTTATTGAGGAAACTTTTTCATAACAGATATGGTTTTTAAAAAGGACCTCGAAACTAGATATGTATAGTATAGAAACAAAAAAGCAATAAAATTGCAAAGGGATTGAAAGGATACAAAAAATGCATAAAAAATTAAAAATAAGTATAAATAAAAATTAAACCTAAGTAGCTATATTAAAAACTTAAAAACAGTACGTTTAAAACTATTGACATTCTTTGAGCCTTTGACCGTCTGACTGAGGGAGTTAAAATCGGAAACGGCATGAAATTGTGTTCTTTGCTTCCCCCAATTTCTTTTGACATGTGGTAATCTAAAATTGCCTTTGTTACGTGTATTATGCCTATGAAGTACATCTTGTCTAATCAAGTCCATATTGTGATTAATTAGGCCATTGATGCATTTGTATACGTGTACACACCTTCTTTGAAATCACCTTTTCTCCAGAGGCAGCTACTTGAGAATGGCTAATGCCTCAGAGGAGGATGAGTACAATGGTCTGTTTAAAATAACTTTAGCGGCCTTATTTTGCAAAACTTGCAAACTAGACATAAGGGTAATATTATGTTTATTGCCCTATACTAGATTAGCATATTCAATGAGGGGCATAACAAGACCTTTATAGAAAAGTAAACGCGCTCAAAATGAACACATCATCAAGCATGAAATGAAACAGAGATATTTTAATCTTATTCTTTGTGGCCTTTATTTTTAAGGTTTTGTTGTCCTGATCGAATAGCAACCAAAGTGTCAAGAGTTTGAAATAATCTACCTTTCCATATTCTGACCACAATAGTCTTCTTAACATCCAGTAACATGACTCGGCCAAAATCATCAGTTGTGACGGCCAAACGTCCATTAGGAGCTAATGTGATGCTTGTTCCACGGCGACGTGTATCAGGCAACCCAAATCTACAAACAAGAGCCAAAGACTCAGTTTTACAAGGACGTCTTCCTAGTAATAGGCTAGAGGAAATTTGCTGCTGAATGGGGTTGCATTTTCAAGACTGGATTGACTTAAATGGGGACTGCATATTCAATACAGTTACCAGAATGGGGCTGCACATGTCTGACAGCATTTCAGGGGTAACAATTAACATTCTGGCAAGTGGTGTTTAAAAATAGTAAGATTTGTTGTAAAAAAGTTGTTACCATATTTACAAAGTGACTAAGATTTGGGTCTATAATCGGAAACAGAATAGACTACTATGGAGTGGGGGGTCTATGAAGCCAGCCGCACATACCCAATACAAATTAATCAAAGTGCCCTCAGGCCCCACAGGGTCCTCCTAGTATTTTCCCACTTTCTCTGTGCTAAATGGCTGCATGCAAAACTAAACACAACCCTTAGCTGCCTCTGATTACCTGACTGGTAAAGAAGTTCCTTTTTCCACCTGGGGCTTTGCTCGTTTTGATGTCTCTGTTGACTGACTGGCTGGGTTGCTACCCCATCCTAGCCAACCACTGGAAATAAATACAAAAAACAGTGAAAGGTAAAGTCTGCACTTAAGCTAAGTGGCCCACCCTGCCAGAACTTAACCGAGTTGCATTAGCACAAAGTGTCTAGGAGTATTACTACTCCCCCCTCCCTAGCATTTTATCAGACTTCTCTAACAATTTGCCAGCTTCTGTGCAGATCAGCCACAACATTAGCTAGTTTCAAAAACTGCATACGTAAGCGTGACCTCAGCTCCCTATTAGATGATGGCTGCAGGGGCTGTGCTCTATGTAATTCTTAATTCATTTACTTTTTTTTTTTTCATACATGATATGACTTAATTTTATTCTTAAGTAGGTAATATTCTTAGTAAATAATTTTTATCCATTTTATTTGTGTCCCCACATTAGTATGGGATAATCTACCAAACTAGAAGGTTCTTTGACACATTAATAGTTTCTATCTATCTATACTCCTGGGTTGAGAGAGGCAGAGTGATAATTATTGATACTTGATAATTACTTATTTTTTTATTGATAATTAATAATTATTATTAATTATTAATAAGTGTTTTGCCCAAGAACACAACACATAGGACCCAGCCAGGTCTTGAAACCAGACCTCTCAACCCAGAGTCCAGTGTACTGACCATCACACAGGGCTGTCATTAGTAGCCGGCAGCCCACGATTATAGCCGGCTAATCTGACGTTAAATTGCCGGCTACTTCACTCACGAAATAACATTGAAAGTTTAGATACTGAGCAAGTCTGACCAGCATATTCATATCCTTGGTAGAATTATCAAAAGTAAAGTACCGAATTTATTCATCTATAAGCCGAACTCGGCTTTAAGTCGAGACCCTAAACTTTGGTCTGTTTTAATTGGGAAGGTTCTTAAAACATGTAAATTGAAAATACCTGGCTCTAAGCCGAGACCATATTCAGAGAATTCCATTCTTGAACAAATGGAAATGAACGCAAAAGTTTCGAAACAGAAAAGTGTTTCAATGCGGTATTGCCGTCAAAAACAATTCCGAGATAACCTGAGGGTGGCCCTCATAGCATTTGTTAGCAGAAACTTCTCTTATTTTTTATTTTGTCTAAATAAGATCACAGAGATAAGAGAGACTGCCTTAAATTGTCTCCAGGAAAAGGCTTAACATGGTATTTGGGCTTGTGTAACCCTGCAGGCACAGGAAGAGCTTTCTCCAAATTTAGATTTAATAAATGTTTTTTGTTCTCAATTGTGATTGTCTTTCTGGTGGAAAACACCCCTTGAAAATGCTGGAAATGGCATTTGCTTGACATTTTTATCAGCCATCTCAACTGACTAGTCATCAATAGTACTGTTCTTTTCAAGAAGTGAGACTTGCTGGAATTTCTCTGAGGAAAGGCAATTTTTGGTAATGTCAAAATGTTTAACTCATTTTGCTTCCGGGGGCTTTGCCCCCTGACCCCCAACAGGGCTCTGCCCCTGTACCCTGCTGGGGACCTGGGGAGCCCCAAACCCCTCACCTGTGGGGGGGCCTCTGGCTACTTTCAAAATATCTCCACCTACTTCAAATCTTATTGACATGCATCTGCATCTCCCAGAGACAACAAAGCAAATGAAAATTGTTCTTACTATTGACACAATCCTGTTCCTTATAACATTGACAAACTCAAAATGTGATCACTCCACTGACCTGGCTGCTGAAAGCTTTGACAGTACTGCAGTTGTTAATTTACTAGCTACTTCTAATGCAACGTCTGAAAGTAGAGAAGGTGAACTACCCTAGGAAAGAGAAAAAACAAGTCATGGAAGAGAGAGAGAGAGAGATTGAGAGTTACAAATCACTGAAGGCAGAAAGCATAACATGACTTGTACATCTGTTTATCAAATATCTTGATTATTAACTTGAGGGTGACCATGAAAAAAAAAAACCCTTAAGTTGTCTAAAAATCAGCCTATTCATTACAACTTTGGTTAGAATTTTGAAGCAAAAAGGGGCTAGCTGTTACATGCCCTGCTACGGATAATTCTCTTCCCAACATCTCTACTTGGCTTCCTGTCTGGAACTTAAAGTTTCTATGGAGCCTGCTCTCTATTAACCCCTTAACTCCCAGAATTGATTAACATGTAACTTCTCCAAATGATATCCATACAATATCCAGCAAACAGATGATGAGAATATTCAAACTTATCAGGTAGAAGTTGTTATCTTGATCCAACACCAAATTCTCAAAACTAAATTAAAAGGAAATGCGTGGCAGCTAGAGGGGAGAATCCATGATCAGATGCTGGGAGCTAAATGGTTAAGCCACTCCCTTGCCCCTGCTCTGCCGTCACCAAAATCTCTGCGATAATAGTTTCACTGTCCATCATGTTGGCTAGGTAATGCTTTTATTAGTATCAAGTACTCTTGTTTTAAAAAGCCTACTTTTATTACAAGACTCGGGCAGTCAGAGGGACAATATCTAAAATCAACCAATCAAAATGCTCTATTGCCGGTCAATTTTCTCTAAGTATTGGACCGGGCACTGACCTGAATGGTCCCGAATGACACTGCACTTGTGTCCCTTTGAACTTCAGTCGTATAATAAATCTCTTATTAACCAAGCTTGCTCAGGACCGTACTGGAAGAATATTGGCCCTCAGTCTTTTTTCCGTACTGTCAAGACCTCTGGGCCGATATTCTCCCAGTACGGCCCTTGCGCTGGGTTAATAAGATATATATATTAGCTTCTGGGCTTCATATTGCAGGTCTTTAATCAAAGAAATACATACCAAATAGGACATTCAGTAAGTCTGTTGACAAGTAATGAGTGAAATACTGACACACACTCTAACCCTAAACAAGTCTATCAACAGGAACTCTTTCTAATAAGCTACTTGCCTAGAGGTCATCCCGAGGAAGTTTCTTTCAAAGGTAACGCCTCCCCCAGGGCTCGACACTAACATAGCCCACTAGCCACAGACTAGTAGAAATTCAGTTTTGGCTGATGGTTTTCGATTTCCATTTCCATTAGCCAGTTTGGTTAATAAATAAACTGAATTTTTCATAACATCTAAGATGTCACTAGCCACTGGGCTAGTAAGTTGAAAAGTTAGTGTCGAGCCCTGTCCCCCATTCCATCATTTTGTCAGAATTCCTTTAACAAACAAAACCCCAGTTTTCTGTTCCCCATTTCCTACCCCTAAGGAAGTGTACACTGCAACAAATGGCTCCTTCCCTGTGCTGATGTAATGAGATATGGCTGGCATGCTACTTCTGATGCTTGCCTGGAAACCTCCGATGAATGAGGCTGTTTGCAACTGATCAAACATGTTGGGAGGTACAACACCTAAAATTAGGAATCGCAACAGACAGATTATAAATTTTACATAAAACTTTTTTTTTCTTAAAACTCTCTGTTAAGAAGTTTATACAACACTATAACCAGTTTAACCTATAGAATTTAGGGTTCTCATTGGAAAATGTAATAGGAGTATAATCTGAACTGAGTAGGCAGCTGAACTGAATTATGCTTGCATAGAAAGCATGATGTGTTGTAAAACCAGATGTTGATGTTAAAATCAGCAATCAGAAATACTTATTTTCTGTCTCTGGTCACAATTTACACAGTAGCCACAGCAAAATAGTCCAACAGCGTGTGGGTTTTCACTGCCTACCAGTGCCTAACTTTGGTTAGGGACGAGCATCAACTAAAAAGATGTCAGAGTACTGGTACTGGTAAGTCTAGATGACAATTTTGTTATAATCACAATGAAGCTTAGAAACATATTTTCATCAAATTAAACTTAAGAAACATATTTCCATCTTTCTTGACTCTGGCAACTGCATTCCAATAGCAATGAACAACTGTCTAGTGCTGTTGATTGTCTAGAAAAGTTCATTGTCTTAAAAAAAATGATTAATAGGTTTTTCCAAAACATGCTTACTTAACAAAACATTGACTTCAAACCTAGACACAGATATGATCAATCATTGCTAATATGCAATTACTATAAAGCACAAATCTTACCACAACTAGCAATGTCTGTGATGTGCCCCTGACCATCGAATCTCCATTTTTTGTAAGCAAGAGGAGGTGGACCAATGAGTCCAGATAAGCCACTGGCTTGAGCTAGTTAAAGATAAAAATTAACATCAAGAATATGATGGAGGATGGGAACATGCTCCCCCAAAATTAATTATTGAGAAAAAATGAAGCAGCTAAGACATGCATTCCTTTAGTCTGAGCGAGAATTTCCACTGTTGGTAAGAGTTTAAAGCGAGTACAAAGAAGAATACAAACTTTTTCAAATATAGAACAATAATAAATTTAATTTATAGGTACTTATTAACTAAAGCTGCAGCAATTTGGTATCTCAAAATCTACAGTTGAAATCAGAAACCTTAAATTCATGAAAAAATACAGTCTGAGTGTGAGAACATAAGACTGAATGTGTTTATGTGAGTCTGTACTCGATACATCTGAGACTCCAAAAGAACTCTGCAAGGTTAAAGAAATCAACCTCCTGAGCAGCAGCTAGCCTCACCTCTCGCCAGTTGGTTTCTACAAGCTCTCAGTGACTGATACAGACTAAAACCATCGATAATAACCATAGCAGTTGGGTACAGGATGGCGAGTTCCTCAACCTAAACACGTTATAAAACACAGAGACAGAAATAAGCAACTCTGGGCATTCTTCCAGTTCTAAAACAGCTTGGTCAAGAGCAATACAGAGGACGAGGAAATTTTTCAATGATAAAATTGTATAATGATAGTAATGATAGTAATTATTAATAATATATTAGTAATTATTAATAACAAATATATATTTACATTTCAAATGAATTTCAACTTATCTCGCCAATAATTCTTCTTACTTTCTGCCATACAATACTTATAATGGAAGACTAGAGAACTTGGTATTAGATCCACTAATAATTTCCTAATATTGGTATTATTCTTCATTCTCATATCAATTGTTGCTTGATATTGCATTGATATTGTAAGGAAAAATTCTGTCTTGGTCAATCATGGAAGTCAAATGTTTAACCCTTTACCTCCTATGATCTGATTGCAAGTTCTCCTCTGAAGCTGCTACACATTTTCTTGTAAATTGCTTATGAGAATCTGATGTTTGATCAAGATAACGACTCCTTCCTGATAAGTTTGAGTATTCTCATTACCTTTTTCTGGATAATGTATGGATATTACAGGGAGAAGTTACATGTTGATCACTTCTGGGGGTTATAAGGTTAAGGAAAAAGTGTAAAATAATCTCAAATTGGTGATTTTTTTTTTTGTAAAGGTATGTCTTCTAAGTTGGTAGCAATTTTATGTTCTGTTTTACCACAGTGACTGTGATTTTGTTCCCACTTGTTTAACAAATGTTCCCCACCTGCTCAGCAGTGCCATAATTCTTATGTGGCTGCCAAGTTCTGCATTTAAGTCTTAAAACTGAGTCATCATGCAGAAACTGAGACAGCAACAGAAATCCATTCTTAAAAAAAAAAAAAAGAAGAGAAAATTTATGGTCTGCTGCTTGGAAATAAAATTGAAATAAAATTAGTTCCCAGCTCAAATTTCAGTCATTATTCATTGAAAAAATTTATTGACACAAAACAGGACCAATTGCCCATCTGGAAATATCTCATTCTTACAAAGTTTCAATGCTACATAGTAATGATATTTTCATGTACTGAGATGAGAACCTCAAAAACATCCAAAAAACATGGTCAGTGGTAACTCAAGCATGTCTCTTACTTTTATTTACTTTATGCATACGCATGTGATTATTGTAAATGGTAACTGCACAGGGAGACTGCAAAAAATAATGTCCTTTCAAGGACTAGATTATTCAGTCACCTAGTTCAATGCAAAAATAAAATGTTTGAATGTGAATGTTAACTATAGAATCGCATAATTGAATAAAATCTCCCATTCTGATTGGTTAACAAAGCAAGGTATTTAGTGTGGAATTGTGAGTTAAAAACGAGGCTAAGTGACATTGTCACACATCTACATATACATAACAAGTAATGCTGTTTTCTTTTTTTCTTAATTTTATTCAATTATGCGATTCAAAGAAAATCCATTACTTAACTCATAAATTTTGCATTAAATTGCACTTGAAAACCGATATTGCACTCAATGCTTCATGATTTGTGCAATTTCAGTATTTGCATGTAATTTAATGCAGAATTCCCTTGTCAAGTAATGAATTTTCCTATAAAATTGTTCAATCCATGTTCCATTGTGCAAAATAAATGTACGATACCTGTAAATAGATCCTCATGTATCCAGATGTAAATCCAGCCACAATGCAAGTCCAGTCTGGTGATCCTTGAGAGCTTCTGCAGATTTCAACATTGATGGTTAAGAAGAATTTTTTTAATGATCAAGGAGCTTCTTTACTGAGTGATCATTTCTTTTATTCTTGTGACCTTAATGTGTGATTCAAGAATGGAAAATTGCAAGGAGAAATTAGATACTTATTACTCCTAGAGGTCAAAGTGTTAATATACATATCATGCAAGTCTATGAAAATTTGTCGCGTTGGTAGTGTGTCAGCTGACATGTTGGCCAATGCATAGGTCGATCTTACCAATGCGTTGATAGTGTGTCAGCCAAAGCATTGGTAATGTGTCAGGGGTGTGTCGGCTGACACGTTAGCCAACGCGTCAGTAGGATCGGACTCTTTACCTTTACCAAAAATTGCATTTACCAATACAGCAAGGGACAAACAACTTACTTGTGTTGAGAAGCCAATGGTATGCACAATATATCTGTAACACATTCCCTGAAAATGAAGAAGTAAAAATGAAAAAAAGTATGGAAAATATTGATGATAATATCTAACATCAAAAGCACTCACATGCTTATGAGGAAAAATAAAATCTTGCATTGGATAGAACCACTAGACATGGCTATTCCCTTCTATCAGAAATGACCAATATACACCATTAAAAATGTCCTAAAGCTTTGGGCTTAGAAAGTAGAAATAAAAGACACTTCTTTGATCAGATGCTTCTTGAATTCACTGTATCTGTTGCTACTTAACACAAAGATTCCATGTTGCCATGCGTCTGTTCAGTAACAGATCACTAATGACATAGAAGAGAGTGGCACATCTTCTGTGATCTATTTAACAAATTGACAGTGGTTTAGCATGGTCCATTCTCTTATGAACAATAATATTTGTCATCACAGTGGTCAAAATGTTGTGGACTCATGAGCCAAGTGAGTCCACAACAAATTTTGACCACGGTGATGACAAACATCACTGGCAATAAGAATACATACCTCACTTAACCATTATGAATTTTTTTTTTACCACGATATGGACATCAAATAAATGATTATTTAAGTGTGACAAGTTGCGTTACACATTGCGTGATATGTTGATGCAAGCAGTATTGTCTGTACTCTTATTGACAAAGGCAAATTGGCATATCAGATTGTGACATTACAGCCAATTGTGGTAAAATATTATATAGATCCATGGCTATATAGAGTCTACTTGTTTTACATGATACAAAGCAGAATACTGCTAATGGTGACATCCACTATACCTAGTATGTTTGTCCTCTGAAATATCATGGGTAAGAACCGATCAAAATGCATGTACAATACAGCTTATCCTAAAAAATCATAATACAACAGCAGTATTTATTTTTTACCCTTCTTCTGTGGCAAGACTACCACTCCACACTATTTCATATTTTGTGCTTGGCTGGCTATCCGATGGCTTAATCCATCTGCCTGATAACAAATGATATATGTTTCAAAAAGCAATATCCAATACAGAATAAGATCTTTCTTAAATCATATGAAGTCACATGCAGAGTAGGGTTGATAAAATGCCTCCCTTGATTCATTGTTCTACATTTTTAACAGTTGTACTGTAACTTACAACCTCTGTAAGGAATATCAACTAATATTTACTCTTAAAAAAAGCATTTACATACTGGTCAGGAAAACAGCTTTGTCATTTTTTGCTATAGCCAAAGTATCATTTGATGGTGACAAGGAGATGGAACACTCTTGTAGCCATGAAGTGGATGCTACTTCAGGCTCACTTTCAACCGCTTCCTGTTAACACAAAAGGCAAATTATCAAACTCTGATTTATTTAAAATGCATTGATTCCAAGCTGATCTGGACATAAATCTCATTTAACATAAAGTAACTTAAGAAGTGTGGCTACTTCTCCTTAGTGGTCCTTAAAGGTTCCCGCCCCCTCTCCCCCTGCTAAAGAGCTTATCCTACTTTTAGATCATAGTGATAGCAGTATGGTTTCTTCCTCTTGGTGGAAATCTATTTTATCATAGGTCCCTGACTGCTACTAATGACATTTGACCAGTCCCCATTTAAACTCCTCGGTGGAGAGAGCGCCATTACAAGAGTTCAGTGTCCAGCCCAAGAACACAACAAAACGACTCCAGGTCATGACCCAGGGTCCCTCATTTTTTTAACTATATCAGGCCTTCAACTCTATAATTAAACCATACTTAAAATTTACAAATCAGTGGAACTCTTACCGTCCAGCCCCACTCTTCACTATCATCATCCCACCCTTCTAAAAATAGAAACATTTATTACAAATTAAAGGGTCGAAACTGTTGATTGTAATTTTCTCGGTTGACTAAAAGAGACGCCACAAAAACAAATCAGGGATAAAATAAATGAATAAAGAATACAAAATAAAATATATGATTCTAAATTTAGCTTGAGCGCTTTAGGTATATATGTTCTTCCCATACTAATTAAACCACAATGTTTATAATCGGTAATCAGTCGTTCCTCAGAATCATCTTACTTACCTACATTATCCTTTACGTTTTGTTCTCCTGATACAGGAGCATCATTCAAAATTGAAATTACCCTATTTACATCTTGTATCAAAGCAAATACAGGAACAGTACAAGACATTTTCATCAATCACATCGCGTTACGCTAGGTAGAGAACACGTCGGCCATGTTGGTTTGTTTATGTCAGCTGACTAGAGAATCGCAGTCTCATCAGCGCGAGATCCGAAATGATCGCAAAGGATGAAGGGAACACACGCTTAGGCGAAATGAGTCTAAAATTTGACGGTACCTTCTGAAGTTGGACGAAGACCTCTGAAGTCAGACGGAACTGACCCAAATTCAGTAGAGCTCTTTGAAATCGAAAGAAAGCGTCCAAGACTAAACGGAAACGAACTGATCGAGACGGAAGTCGTCCTAAATGAGACGGAACCGATTCCCTTTTTACTCGGAGAATATTTTGCTTCTTTCATTGACGCAGCAACAAACCCAAACAAAAGCCTACTTCTTACCCTTGCTTATTCCAGGAGCTTCTCTAGTGATCTGAATTTAAGAAACTGTTACCGCTATCATCATCATCTCCTTTAAATTTTGCTTCTATGAAGTCGTTCAGAATCTGATTGACACCAATCCTAAGTTAGTTCACCGAACACAGGAACTAGACATATATGTGTTATTAATTGAGCGTGAGGTCAAGATGGCTTGATATTGGCCGTGTTTTGATTTTGTATTTTTATGTACCAAGACGAAGTCGAGGTCCACAAAAATCCGAAGAAAGAACGAGGCTAATATCCAGCCATCTTGACCGAACAAGCTTGGTAAATAAAGGATTTATCATATTGCAAAAAATATTTCGCTTTAGTTAGAATTAATGATGACATGTTCACTTCAAGAGCTGGGAAAGAAAGCGAACCGTTTCTAGAAGAACAAACTCACCAGAGTCGTTTTGTTTTCTTTGTTTTGACTCTCCCCTGCCGCTTTCGGCCAAAATTGTCCAAGGATCATGAAGCTAGTTAATTTTATTCTTTTTTTTGTTTTTTGTTTTTGTTTTTTTAATACGTGGGATCAATGCGGGCAAGATACGCTCATCTTGCCCGCTTGGGTAGCCAATCAGAACACAGGATTCGCTTCATCTTAGTGCTGCGAGCGATGTAATAAAATACAATGGTGGGAATAGAGAATATTCAGAACATTTGATTTTCTTTTTAGCACTACCAAATTCTGCATTACGAAGACTTACCAGTTTTTCCCTTATCCTCGTGAATAAATTGCATGGGCTCGTTTCTTTCTTGCTCCCCGCGGCTTTCCGAGATCTTGTTCACTCTACGTCCGTTGCTCTACGTATCGAACATTGTGGGGAGCTGAGCCGGCAAAGGGTCTGGTAACGATACATAATCAGGCAGTCCTAAAATCAAATCCCACAACGCTCTACATCGCCAAGCAAAAAATTAAAGAAAATATCACGAGACCAAGGCTGTAGCCAGACTTCAGGACAACACGAGGCAATTTTCGAGCGCCGAAGGCGCGACCCGCTAGGGGGGTCTGGGGGTATGCCCCCCAGAAAATTTTGAAATCTAGAATTTCAGAAATGCTCTTTTAAGGATTTTTCGCGGTATTTTTCTTCAGAAAAGTCAATCTTCAAGAAAAAAATTTAAAAAAAGGCCAAAATCAAGACGAGGCAATTGCCTCGTCTTGCCTCATGCTAGCTACGGCCCTGGAGACTGAATTATATTTAAGACAAGTTGGTTGTGTCAACCGTAATGAAAATTAGCCACAGTAAAGAGTTTCAAAGCTGAGGTCTTCCTACAACCGTGCTAAAGACGTGTGCAAGGCAATTAACACCTTCTCTTTGCGCCCTTTTTGATTTATCTCTTGCGGAGGGTAAACTACCCATTGCATGGAAAAACGCACTTGTCGTTCCTGTTTATAAGAAAGGAAAAAAGGAGGACGTTATTAACTACAGACCTATCTCTCTAATGTGCGTTGTGTCCAAAGTATTAGAACGATGTATACTCAAGCACTTTAATGATTTTCTTTGTCCTTTGTTTCACAATGCACAGCACGGTTTCCTTCAGGGTTGATCTACAGTCACCCAGCTTCTAACATTCTATCACGAGATTGGCCAGTCTCTTGATAAGGGCCTGCAGTCGGACATAGTGTATCTGGATCTCGCAAAGGCTTTCGACAGTGTTTCCCACCAAGGGTTGCAAGACTTTGAGA